GCTTCACAACTGGATAGTAGTGAGTTCTCATATTGTATTGAAAATTTAAGCGATCCATTTGATGAAAAAAATATACTGATCATAGGGATAAAGTCCGGAGGAGTTGAAAACTCAACTCCTCTTATTATTAGGGAGTTCCATTACTACGTAAATCTTGAAGGCATTAGCTTTGGGGGTAGGATGCTCGGCATTGACAAAAAGGATTTGAGAATGGATAATTTTAAAAGTGGTGGGGGTGCAATTATTGATTCAGGTTCAAGTTTGAGTTTCCTTTGAAGATATTGCAAACGAGAAACTTGAACAGGCAATTGTTGATTACATATGGGACTCATTGGAAAGACGATATTTCCCTTTGGACAAATATCAACTTTGCTATATTGGACACTCGTTTAGGGATTTTAAGGGCTTTACAACAATAGTATTTCATTTTGATGGAGCAACAACGGAATTAGATAAAGAGAATTTGTTTAAGCAAGTATACACAGATGTGGTATGTTTAAGTGTGTTAAATGCTGCAGAGAATGGTGTCGATCACTGTCTTCTTGGCGTAGAACTCCACAAATATTTCTATATATCATTTGACATGAATGAGATGCAAGTTAACTTTGAGAGGATGGAATGTGAATATTTCAATAAGTGGAGTTGAAGAAAATGATTGCTGAATATAGTTGTACATGCGTGGTTTATAATTTTTATTACCAATATTTTTTAGATATAATTTATTGAAACTTTTTGTTTTTTCTTATTAGTGTCATGATTGAAATATAATAACTCTAATTAAAAGGCATGAGAGTCATTTAGGCTAAACAAAAACTGAAAGCAAAATATGTTCACACTTACACTCCCTGTTACCAAGACTCATCTTACTTTTTATAGAGTAATGATAATGATATATTTGATATTGTTACAAGGTAGATGTGTGCTTCATCGTGTGAGGGCAAGTAATTAATACAATTCTCTTGCCAACTCTACATCATCAACAAACAACAACCAACTTTAGCTGCAAGCTATTGCAGATTGATTGACAAAAACAGTGAAAATTAAAATTATGTGTCATTTGCTTTACATGAGTTGACAAATTTGAGAAGAGAGAATCCTTTAAAACACTTTGTACATTTACACATTTGCTTGCAGCAAACCTTTGCATAATAGCCCGAAATTGTGGCTAGCTTTCTTCTAATCACCACAACTATCGTTCTTTTCTGTCTTTTGATAACAAGAACCAGCCATAGTAGTAGGAGTATGATAGTTACAAAAATGATTCATTATAACTCTATTCACTCCCCCTATTTTGACACAAATACTGCTGAACATAGGAACTTGCATATTTCCTTATCTCGCTTAAGATATTTGAAGATGACAATGCAAGAATATTTGAAGCTGACAGTACAAGATGATTCAGAGGATTCAAATGATGATTCAGATAATGATACTGATTTCGAGACTGGAATTTTTGTTAACACATCAATACCTGTGTTTTTGGTGGGTTTCAACATTGGTTCACGAGAGGCTGCTCAATTGGTTGCGTTGGATACTGGTAGTAATCTGCTTTTGGGTTCAGTGCAAACCTAGTATAGGCGGCAATAAGACATTCTATAGAAACTATTGGTCGGGGGAGTTTTCAACATATTCTGCTAATGTGAGGTGCGAGAACTTTTGTTCTTCTACTCCATTGACATGTATTCTAACACCCACTCTCTGCTGGTAAGTATTGAAATATTTGGGTGAAATCGTTGTCCGAGGAAATCTTACATTTGAAAGATTTGTTTTCGATTCATCATTTGACAACCAACCAGCGCATGAGTTAAATCTGTTATTTTGATGTATTAGAAAAAATAGCAACATAGACAAGTTCAATCGTGTCTTGGGGTTTGGTCCTTCAGGAATCTCATTAGCTTCACAACTGGATAGTAGTTAGTTCTCATATTGTATTGGAAATTTAAGCGATCCATTTGATGAGAAAAATATACTGATCATAGGGATAAAGTCCGGAGGAGTTGAAAACTCAACTCCTCTTATTATTTGGGAGTTCCATTACTACGCAAATCTTGAAGGCATTAGCTTTGGGGGTAGGATGCTCGGCACTGATATAAAGGATTTGAAAATGGATAATTTTAAAAGTGGTGGGGGTGCAATTATTGATTCAAGTTCAAGTTTGAGTTTCCTTCAAGATATTGCATACGAGAAACTTGAATAGGCAATTGTTGATTACATAGAGAACTCATTGGAAAGACGCTTGTTTAGGGATTTTAAGGGCTTTAAAGCAATAGCATTTCATTTTTGATGGAGCAACAATGGAATTAGATAAAGAGAATTTGTTTAAACAAGTATACCCAGATGTGGTATGTTTAAGTGTGTTGAATGCTGCAGAGAATTGTGTCGATCACAGTCTTCTTGGCGTAGGACTTCAAAAATATTTCTATATATCATTTGACATGAATGAAATGTATGTTAACTTTGAAAGGATGGAATGCGAATATTTCAATAATTGGAGTTGAAGAAAATGATTGATGAATATAGTTGTAAATGCGTAGTTTATAATTTTTATTATCAATAATTTTTAGATGTAATTTATTGAAAATTTTCATTTTTCTTATTAGTGTCATGATTGAATTGTAATACCTCTAATTAAAAAACATGAGGGTAATTTAGGCTAAACAAAAACTAAAAGCAAAATATGTTTACACTTACACTCCCTGTTACCAAGACTCATCCTACCTTTTATAGAGTAATGATAATGATATATTTGATGTTGTTACAAGGTAGACGTGTGCTTCATCGTGTGAGGGCAAGTAATTAATACAATTCTCTTGCCAACTCTACATCATCAAGAAACAACAACCAACTTTAGCTGCAGGCTATTGTTGATTGATTGACAATAACATTGAAAATTAAGATTATGTGTCATTTGTTTTACATTAGCTGACAAATTTGGGAAGAGGGAATCCTTTAAAACACTTTGCACATTTACACATTTGCTTGCAGCAAACCTTTGCATAATAGTCAGAAAGTATGGCTAACTTTCTTCTAATCACCACAACCATCGTTCTTTTCTGTCTTTGGATAGCAAGAACAAGCCATATTAGTAGGAGTAGGATAGTTACAAAAATGATTCATTATAACTCTATTCACTCCCCCCTATTTTGACACAAATGCTGTCGAACATAGGGACTTGCATATTTCCTTATCTCGCTTATGACACTTGAAAGTGACAATGCAAGAATATTTGAAGCTGACAGTACAATATGATTCAGATGATTCAAATGATGATTCGGATAATGATACTGATTTCGAGATTGGAATTTTTGTTAACACATCAATACCTGTGTTTTTGGTGGGTTTCAACATTGGTTCACGGGAGGCTGCTCAATTGGTTGCGTTGGATACAGGTAGTAATCTGCTTTGAGTTCAGTGCAAACCTGGTATAGGCAGCAATAGGACATTCTGTAGAAACTATTGGCTTGGGGAGTCTTCAATATATCCCGCTAATGTGAGGTGCGAGGACTTTTGTTCTTCTATTCCGTTGACATGTATTCCAACACCCACTCTTTGCTGGTATGTATTGAAATATTTGGGTGAAATCGTTGTTCGTGGAAATTTTGCATTTGAACGATTTATTTTCGGTTCATCATTTGATAACCAACCAGCGCATAAGTTAAATCCGTTATTTGGATGTACTAGAAAAAATAGCTACATAGATAAGTTCAATGGTGTCTCGGGGCTTGGTCCTTCAGGAATCTCATTAACTTCACAACTGGATAGTAGTGAGTTCTCATAATGTATTGAAAATTTAAACAATCCATTTGACGAAAAAAATATACTGATCATAGGGATAAAGTCCGGAGGAGTTGAAAACTCAACTCCTCTTATTATTAGGGAGTTCCATTACTACGTAAATCTTGAAGGCATTAGCTTTGGGGGTAGGATACTAGGCACTGACAAAAAGGATTTGAGAATGGATAATTTAAAAAGTGGTGGGGGTGCAACTATTGATTCAGGTTCAAGTTTGAGTTTCTTTTGAAGATATTGCAAACGAGAAACTTGAACAGGTAATTGTTGATTACATAGGGGACTCATTGGAAAGACGATATTTCTCTTTGGACAAGTATCAACTTTGCTATATTGTACACTTGTTTAGGGATTTTAAGGGCTTTACAACAATAGCATTTCATTTTGATAGAGCAACAATGAAATTAGATAAAGAGAATTTGTTTAAACAAGTATACCAGATGTGGTATGTTTAAGTGTGTTGAATGCTGCAGAGAATGGTGTCGATCACAGTTTTCTTGGCGTAGAACTCCAAAAATATTTCTATATATCATTTGACGTGAATGAAATGCAAGTTAACTTTGAGAGGATGGAATGTGAATATTTCAATAATTGGAGTTGAAGAAAATGATTGAGGAATATAGTTGTAAAAACGTCTTTTCAATTTTTATTACCAATATTTTTTAGATGTAATTTATTAAAATTTTTCATTTTTTCTTATTAGTGTCATGATTGAAATGTAATACCTCAAGTTAAAAGACATGAGGGTAATTTAGTCTAAACAAAAACTAAAAGCAAAATATGTTAACACATGCACTCCCTGTTACCAAGACTCATCCTACCTTTTATTGGGTAATGATAACGATATATTTGATGTTGTTACAAGGTAGACGTGTGATTCATCGTGTGAGGGCAAGTAATTAATACAATTCTCTTACCAACTCTACATCATCAAGAAACAACAACCAACTTTAGCTGCAGGCTATTGCTGATTGATTGACAATAACATTGAAAATTAAGATTATGTGTCATTTGCTTTACATGAGCTGACAAATTTGGGAAGAGACAATCCTTTAAAATACTTTACACATTTACAGATTTGCTTGCAGCAAACATTTGCATAATAGTCAGAAAGTATGGCTAGCTTTCGTCTAATCACCATAACCATCGTTCTTTTCTTTCTTTTGATACCAAGGACCAGCCATAGTAGTCGGAGTAGGATAGTTACGAAAATGATTCATTATAACTCTATTGACCTCCCTTATTTTGACACAAATGCTGCCGAACATAGGGACTTGCATATTTCCTTATCTCGCTTAAGATACTTGAAGGTGACAATGCAAGAATATTTGAAGCTGACAGTACAATATGATTCAGATGATTCAAATGATGATTCAGATAATGATACTGATTTCGAGACTGGAATTTTTGTTAACACATCAATACCTGTGTTTTTGGTGGGTTTCAACTTTGGTTCACGAGAGGCTGCTCAATTGGCTGCGTTGGATACTGGTTGCAATCTGCTTTGTGTTCAGTGCAAACTTGATAGAGGCGGCAATAGGACATTCTATAGAAACTATTGGCCTGCGGAGTCTTCAACATATTCTGTTAATGTGAGGTGCGTGGACTTTTATTCTTCTACTCCATTGACATGTATTCCAACACCCACTCTCTGCTGGTATTTATTGAAATATTTGGGTGAAGTCATTGTCCGTGGAAATCCTGCATTTGAACGATTTATTTACGGTTCATCATTTGACAATCAACCAGCGCATGAGTTAAATCCGTTATTTGGATGTACTAGAAAAAATAGCTAAACAGACAAGTTCAATCGTGTCTTGGGGTTTGGTCCTTCAGGAATCTCATTAGCTTCACAACTGGATAGTAGTGAGTTCTCATATTGTATTGGTAATTTAAACGATCCATTTGATGAAAAAAATATACTGATTATAGGGATAAAATCCGGAGGAGTTGAGTTTTCAACTCCTCTTATAATTAGGGAGTTTGATTACTACGTAAATCTTGAAGGCATTAGTTTTGGGGGTAGGATGCTCGGTATTGACAAAAAGGATTTGAGAATGGATAATTTTAAAAGTGGTGGGGGTGCAACTATTGATTCAGGTTCAGGTTTGAGTTTCCTTTGAAGATATTGCAAACGAGAAACTTGAACAGGCAATTGTTGATTACATAGGGGACTCGTTGGAAAGACGGTATTTCTCTTTGGACAAGTATCAACTTTGCTATATTGGACACTTGTTTAGGGATTTTAAGGGCTTTACAACAATAGCATTTCATTTTGATGGAGCAACAATGCAATTAGATAAAAAGAATTTGTTTAAGCAAGTATACCAGATGTGGTATGTTTAAGTGTGTTGAATGCTGCAGAGAATTGTGTCGATCAAAGTCTTCTTGGCGTAGGACTTCAAAAATATTTCTATATATCATTTGACATGAATGAAATGTATGTTAACTTTGAAAGGATGGAATGCGAATATTTCAATAATTGGAGTTGAAGAAAATGATTGATGAATATAGTTGTAAATGCGTAGTTTTTAATTTTATTACCAATATTTTTTAGATGTAATTTGTTGAAAATTTTCATTTTTTCTTATTAGTGTCATGATTGAAATGTAATACCTCTAATTAAATGACTTGAGGGTAATTTAGGCCAAATAAAAACTAAAAGCAAAATATGTTTACACTTACACTCCCTGTTACCCAAACTCATCCTACCTTTTATTGGGTAATGATAACGATATATTTGATGTTGTTACAAGGTAGACGTGTGATTCATCGTGTGAGGGCAAGTAATTAATACAATTCTCTTACCAACTCTACATCATCAAGAAACAACAACCAACTTTAGCTGCAGGCTATTGCTGATTGATTGACAATAACATTGAAAATTAAGATTATGTGTCATTTGCTTTACATGAGCTGACAAATTTGGGAAGAGAGAATCCTTTAAAATACTTTACACATTTACAGATTTGCTTGCAGCAAACATTTGCATAATAGTCAGAAAGTATGGCTAGCTTTCGTCTAATCACCATAACCATCGTTCTTTTCTTTCTTTTGATACCAAGGACCAGCCATAGTAGTCGGAGTAGGATAGTTACGAAAATGATTCATTATAACTCTATTGACCTCCCTTATTTTGACACAAATGCTGCCGAACATAGGGACTTGCATATTTCCTTATCTCGCTTAAGATACTTGAAGGTGACAATGCAAGAATATTTGAAGCTGACAGTACAATATGATTCAGATGATTCAAATGATGATTCAGATAATGATACTGATTTCGAGACTGGAAATTTTGTTAACACATCAATACCTGTGTTTTTGGTGGGTTTCATCTTTGGTTCACTGGAGGCTGCTCAATTGGTTGCGTTGGATACTGGTAGTAATCTGCTTTGGGTTCAGTGCAAACTTGATATAGACGGCAATAGGACATTCTATAGAAACTATTGGCCTGCGGAGTCTTCAACATATTCTGTTAATGTGAGGTGCGAGGACTTTTATTCTTCTACTCCATTGACATGTATTCCAACACCCACTCTCTGCTGGTATGTATTGAAATATTTGGGTGAAGTCATTGTCCGTGGAAATTGTGAGAACCCAGAAAAAAAAAAAAAATTTTTTTTTATTTATTTATTATTTTATTCCTGTGCACCCGTTTTCTTTTAATTTCTTTATTATATTACTTTTATCAATATTTTATCAGTAAATATAGTTTTTAAATCATTTTTCTAGTATAAGGTAGTTCGTGAGAATTTTGGAACGTCTTTTGGTCGCGGGACCCACTAGTGCATTAAGTGAGAGAAATTTGACCAAGTAGGTTAATTTTTTTTGCGTAAAGAAATTTTGTTAATAGGTATTAGGAGATAATTGGAGGTTTTCTAGATGGATTAGCCATGAGGGACAAGAAGATAGCTCTAGCAAAAATAATGCGCCAAGTGTCAAATTGTTGTTGGACTAAACTTGCCTAACTTTGCCTAACTTTCTTTAACTTGAATAAAAGACCAAAAATTGACCAAATCATCTTCATTTCAGCCTTGTCTTGGCCGAACCTCTCTAGCAAGCAAAGGAAAAAATTCTTCAACCTTCCATCTTCTAATCTTGCTCAAATCTTGAAAACTAGCCGTTTGTTTCTTGAATTAGTCCATAAAAACATCTTGCTAAGGGTCTTTGAAGAACTTGGTGGTGTTGTTTTGGAAGAAAACCTCACAAGCTACAACCTTTCTTGAAGAACTAAGGTATCTTGCTTGGAACTCATCTTTTGTTATAAATTTTGGCCAATTGGTGCCTTATAGTAGCTATTTCCGCGATTTTTCGGACGATTTGGTGGATTGGAGTGAAGTTTCCTAATTTTCTGATTTTTCTGGATTTTTTTCTGGAATTTTCTGTTTTCCTATGATGGATATGATTGAGCTTGAATTGGTGGTTCTAAATGGTATTAAATAGTTCTCTTGTGCGTTAATTGTGGTTAATTGCGAAAAATTTCCGCTTGTGCGGAAAATTTCAGATTTAGGGTTTCAAATTGGGGGTTTTCTATTGTTGATTGTTGAACTTCTAATTGGCTATAATTGAAGGGTATTATGACCCTAATGACGCATATGGAATGGCTTATATATTGTTTGGGTGCTTGTGGTTGTGTTGGATGGCTTTTATTGGTTGTCTTGTAGGTTGGAAAAGCTGAAATTTTAGGGGAAATGCTGTCCAAGTGTCTAGGGTATTGGATTCTTATGTGTTGGGTTGAGATTTGATAGAAGTGAATAATCTTAGGGTTTATTTCTACTTTTAACCCTACATGTTATGTATTTTTCATTTCCAAGCTATATTTGGGTCTTGCCTTAATAGTTCCTAGAAAAAGGTATTCGACTTGTGTTTGCGTTTTCATTGTACTTTCTTGATTGTTATAGGGCGTGCCGGTGATCCGAGGCTCACGTCGGGCGAAAACTTGTGAAATTTCTTTGTTGAACTTGGTGAGTGTACTACTCACATGTTTGTTATTCCGTGGCTTTCTTGTACTTGAATTCTGTGGTTTGGACTAGTTGTGATGATTGTTTGAGCTAGGTGAGGCGAGGGTGTACTTTACCACTCTCGTACTCTCTAGCCTCCTTGACTGGTTATTATACTAAGCTTACTTGACTGTTTATGATATTACTTGAATATTATTGACTATACTGGATTTGGTATTGCTTGGATACCAACTTTACTGTTCACTCTGAGCTCTACCTCATTGGAAGTCAATGGACTCGAGCCAGTAAGGACTTGGTCGGGGACATTTGACAAGCCATGGGGACTGTATTTGGGAATCTTTGGGTATGAGACCCTTGATTCCGGTATACTCGAGGAATATCAATTCTGTACTGTTTGGTGTTCGGGCCCGGTAAGGGGAAAGTGAGGTGGATGGATAATTGGAGTAAAGAGGAGTCTACGGTCATGATTACCTGGTATACATTGACGGAGAGTCAATGAGATGAGATCAAGCATGGCAAAAGAGGAAAAGGGCTCTTGAGAGCCATCCGTATCCTTTTATTCCCTACACTTGGGTGTTGTTGATTTTACTTACTTGACGTGCGTATTTGGACTGAATATTCTTGTGTTTATGTGATCCTGGTATATTTTGGTGATGGTACCTCATTGGGCGAAAGCTCACTCCGTGAATTTTGTTTTCCTTACAGGGATTTACCTTTTGGACTTTTGAGTTTGAAGATGAGTTGAGTAGAGCTAGTTGAGAGATTTTGTATAGCTCCTCAATAGTTGGCAACTTGATTGTACTTGGATTTACATGTTTCCTTTTGGCTTGTAATCATACAAATGTGGTTGGTAACAGTGTGTGGGTATTCATGTTCCATGTATTCTACTTGGCTTGTATATATATTCCTTTCCGGGATTGTAAGCAGTTATTTGCATTTGATTGGGTGCTGGCTGATTGTGACGTGGCAGTCACTATTCACTTTACGTTTTAACTTTTGTTTTCCGTTTCTTGATTGATGGTTGGGTTAAGCGCGTTAGTAGTTTCCCGAACGACTTGAATTAATGTTTTACCGTTTTAGTAGTCCTGGCGAGAGATGGGCAGGCAGTCCGCTAACCCCTTTGGTACGCCTTAGGGGAAGGTGGGGCTGTCACAGAAATCCTGCATTTGAACGATTTATTTTCGGTTCATCATTTGACAACCAACCAGCGCATGAGTTAAATCCGTTATTTGGTTGTACTAGAAAAAATAGCTACACAGACAAGTTCAATCGTGTCTTGGGGTTTGGTCCTTCAGGAATCTCATTAGCTTCACAACTGGATAGTATTGAGTTCTCATATTGTATTGAAAATTTAAACGATCCATTTGATGAAAAAAATATACTGATTATTAGGGAGTTTGATTACTACGTAAATCTTGAAGGCATTAGTTTTGGGGGTAGGATGCTCGGTACTGACAAAAAGGATTTGAAAATGGATAATTTTAAAAGTGGTGGGGGTGCAACTATTGATTCAGGTTCAGGTTTGAGTTTCCTTTGAAGATATTGCAAACGAGAAACTTGAACAGGCAATTGTTGATTACATAGGGGACTCATTGGAAAGACGATATTTCTCTTTGGACAAGTATAAATTTTGCTATATTGGACACTTGTTTAGGGATTTTAAGGGCTCTACAACAATAGCATTTCATTTTGATGGAGCAACAATGGAATTAGATAAAAAGAATTTGTTTAAGCAAGTATACCAGATGTGGTATGTTTATGTGTGTTGAATGCTGCAGAGAATGGTGTCGATCACAGTCTTCTTGACGTAAAACTCGAAAAATATTTCTATATATCATTTGACATGAATGAAATGCAAGTAAACTTTGAGAGGATGGAATGTGAATATTTCAATAATTGGAGTTGAAGAAAATGATTGATTAATATAGTTGTAAAAGCGTCGTTTTTAATTTTTATTACCAATATTTTTTAGATATAATTTATTGAAACTTTTTACTTTTCCTTATTAGTGTCATGATTGAAATTTAATACCTCTAATTAAAAAACAAGAGGGCAATTTAGGCTAAACAAAAACTAAAAGCAAAATATGTTTACACTTACACTCCCTATTACCAGACTCATCCTACCTTTTATACAGTAACGATAATGATATATTTGATGTTGTTACAAGGTAGACATGTGCTTCATCGTGTGAGGGTAAGTAATTAATACAATTCTCTTGCCAACACTACATCATCAAGAAACAACAACCAACTTTAGTTGCAGGCTATTGTTGATTGATTGACAATAACATTGAAAATTAAGATTATGTGTCATTTGCTTTACATGAGCTGACAAATTTGGGAAGAGAGAATCCTTTAAAATACTTTACACATTTACGCATTTGCTTGCAGCAAACCTTTGCATAATAGTCAGAAAGTATGGCTAGCTTTCGCCTAATCACCATAACTATCGTACTTTTCTGTCTTTTGATACCAAGGACCAGCCATAGTAGTCGGAGTAGGATAGTTACGAAAATGATTCATTATAACTCTATTCACTCCCCCTATTTTGACACAAATGCTGCCGAATATAGGGACTTGCATATTTCCTTCTCTCGCTTAAGATACTTGAAGGTGACAATGCAAGAATATTTGAATCTGACAGTACAATATGATTCAGATGATTCAAATGATGATTCAGATAATGATACTGATTTCGAGACTGGAATTTTTGTTAACACATCAATACCTGTGTTTTTGGTGGGTTTCAACTTTGGTTCACGAGAGGCTGCTCAATTGGCTGCGTTGGATACTGGTTGCAATCTGCTTTGGGTTCAGTGCAAACTTGATAGAGGCGGCAATAGGACATTCTATAGAAACTATTGGCCTGCGGAGTCTTCAACATATTCTGTTAATGTGAGGTGCGTGGACTTTTATTCTTCTACTCCATTGACATGTATTCCAACACCCACTCTCTGCTGGTATTTATTGAAATATTTGGGTGAAGTCATTGTCCGTGGAAATCCTGCATTTGAACGATTTATTTTCGGTTCATCATTTGACAACCAACCAGCGCATGAGTTAAATCCGTTATTTGGATGTACTAGAAAAAATAGCTAAACAGACAAGTTCAATCGTGTCTTGGGGTTTGGTCCTTCAGGAATCTCATTAGCTTCACAACTGGATAGTAGTGAGTTCTCATATTGTATTGGTAATTTAAACGATCCATTTGATGAAAAAAATATACTGATTATAGGGATAAAATCCGGAGGAGTTGAGTTTTCAACTCTTCTTATAATTAGGGAGTTTGATTACTACGTAAATCTTGAAGGCATTAGTTTTGGGGGTAGGATGCTCGGTATTGACAAAAAGGATTTGAGAATGGATAATTTTAAAAGTGGTGGGGGTGCAACTATTGATTCAGGTTCAGGTTTGAGTTTCCTTTGAAGATATTGCAAACGAGAAACTTGAACAGGCAATTGTTGATTACATAGGGGACTCGTTGGAAAGACGGTATTTCTCTTTGGACAAGTATCAACTTTGCTATATTGGACACTTGTTTAGGGATTTTAAGGGCTTTACAACAATAGCATTTCATTTTGATGGAGCAACAATGCAATTAGATAAAAAGAATTTGTTTAAGCAAGTATACCAGATGTGGTATGTTTAAGTGTGTTGAATGCTGCAGAGAATTGTGTCGATCAAAGTCTTCTTGGCGTAGGACTTCAAAAATATTTCTATATATCATTTGACATGAATGAAATGTATGTTAACTTTGAAAGGATGGAATGCGAATATTTCAATAATTGGAGTTGAAGAAAATGATTGATGAATATAGTTGTAAATGCGTAGTTTTTAATTTTATTACCAATATTTTTTAGATGTAATTTGTTGAAAATTTTCATTTTTTCTTATTTGTGTCATGATTGAAATGTAATACCTCTAATTAAATGACTTGAGGGTAATTTAGGCCAAATAAAAACTAAAAGCAAAATATGTTTACACTTACACTCCCTGTTACCCAAACTCATACTACCTTTTATTGGGTAAGGATAACGATATATTTGATGTTGTTACAAGGTAGACGTGTGATTCATCGTGTGAGGGCAAGTAATTAATACAATTCTCTTACCAACTCTACATCATCAAGAAACAACAACCAACTTTAGCTGCAGGCTATTGCTGATTGATTGACAATAACATTGAAAATTAAGATTATGTGTCATTTGCTTTACATGAGCTGACAAATTTGGGAAGAGAGAATCCTTTAAAATACTTTACACATTTACAGATTTGCTTGCAGCAAACATTTGCATAATAGTCAGAAAGTATGGCTAGCTTTCGTCTAATCACCATAACCATCGTTCTTTTCTTTCTTTTGATACCAAGGACCAGCCATAGTAGTCGGAGTAGGATAGTTACGAAAATGATTCATTATAACTCTATTGACCTCCCTTATTTTGACACAAATGCTGCCGAACATAGGGACTTGCATATTTCCTTATCTCGCTTAAGATACTTGAAGGTGACAATGCAAGAATATTTGAAGCTGACAGTACAATATGATTCAGATGATTCAAATGATGATTCAGATAATGATACTGATTTCGAGACTGGAAATTTTGTTAACACATCAATACCTGTGTTTTTGGTGGGTTTCATCTTTGGTTCACTGGAGGCTGCTCAATTGGTTGCGTTGGATACTGGTAGTAATCTGCTTTGGGTTCAGTGCAAACTTGATATAGACGGCAATAGGACATTCTATAGAAACTATTGGCCTGCGGAGTCTTCAACATATTCTGTTAATGTGAGGTGCGAGGACTTTTATTCTTCTACTCCATTGACATGTATTCCAACACCCACTCTCTGCTGGTATGTATTGAAATATTTGGGTGAAGTCATTGTCCGTGGAAATCCTGCATTTGAACGATTTATTTTCGGTTCATCATTTGACAACCAACCAGCGCATGAGTTAAATCCGTTATTTGGTTGTACTAGAAAAAATAGCTACACAGACAAGTTCAATCGTGTCTTGGGGTTTGGTCCTTCAGGAATCTCATTAGCTTCACAACTGGATAGTATTGAGTTCTCATATTGTATTGAAAATTGAAACGATCCATTTGATGAAAAAAATATACTGATTATAGGGATAAAATCCGGAGGAGTTGAGTTCTCAACTCCTCTTATTATCAGGGAGTTTGATTACTACGTAAATCTTGAAGGCATTAGTTTTGGGGGTAGGATGCTCGGTATTGACAAAAAGGATTTGAAAATGGATAATTTTAAAAGTGGTGGGGGTGCAACTATTGATTCAGGTTCAGGTTTGAGTTTCCTTTGAAGATATTGCAAACGAGAAACTTGAACAGGCAATTGTTGATTACATAGGGGACTCATTGGAAAGACGATATTTCTCTTTGGACAAGTATAAATTTTGCTATATTGGACACTTGTTTAGGGATTTTAAGGGCTTTACAACAATAGCATTTCATTTTGATGGAGCAACAATGGAATTAGATAAAAAGAATTTGTTTAAGCAAGTATACCAGATGTGATATGTTTATGTGTGTTGAATGCTGCAGAGAATGGTGTCGATCACAGTCTTCTTGACGTAAAACTCGAAAAATATTTCTATATATCATTTGACATGAATGAAATGCAAGTAAACTTTGTGAGGATGGAATGTGAATATTTCAATAATTGGAGTTGAAGAAAATGATTGATTAATATAGTTGTAAAAGCGTCGTTTTTAATTTTTATTACCAATATTTTTTAGATATAATTTATTGAAACTTTTTACTTTTTCTTATTAGTGTCATGATTGAAATTTAATACCTCTAATTAAAAAACAAGAGGGCAATTTAGGCTAAACAAAAACTAAAAGCAAAATATGTTTACACTTACACTCCCTGTTACCAGACTCATCCTACCTTTTATACAGTAACGATAATGATATATTTGATGTTGTTACAAGGTAGACATGTGCTTCATCGTGTGAGGGTAAGTAATTAATACAATTCTCTTGCCAACACTACATCATCAAGAAACAACAACCAACTTTAGTTGCAGGCTATTGTTGATTGATTGACAATAACATTGAAAATTAAGATTATGTGTCATTTGCTTTACATGAGCTGACAAATTTGGGAAGAGAGAATCCTTTAAAATACTTTACACATTTACGCATTTGCTTGCAGCAAACCTTTGCATAATAGTCAGAAAGTATGGCTAGCTTTCGCCTAATCACCATAACTATCGTACTTTTCTGTCTTTTGATACCAAGGACCAGCCATAGTAGTCGGAGTAGGATAGTTACGAAAATGATTCATTATAACTCTATTCACTCCCCCTATTTTGACACAAATGCTGCCGAATATAGGGACTTGCATATTTCCTTATCTCGCTTAAGATACTTGAAGGTGACAATGCAAGAATATTTGAATCTGACAGTACAATATGATTCAGATGATTCAAATGATGATTTGGATAATGATACTGATTTCGAGACTGGAATTTTTGTTAACACATCAATACCTGTGTTTTTGGTGGGTTTCAACATTGGTTCACGGGAGGCTGCTCAATTGGTTGCGTTGGATACTGGTAGTAATCTGCTTTGAGTTCAGTGCAAACCTGGTATAGGCAGCAATAGGACATTCTGTAGAAACTATTGGCTTGGGGAGTCTTCTATATATCCTGCTAATGTGAGGTGCGAGGACTTTTGTTCTTCTATTCCGTTGACATGTATTCCAACACCCACTCTTTGCTGGTATGTATTGAAATATTTGGGTGAAATCGTTGTTCGTGGAAATCTTGCATTTGAACGATTTATTTTCGGTTCATCATTTGATAACCAACCAGCGCATAAGTTAAATCCGTAATTTGGATGTACTAGAAAACATAGCTACATAGACAAGTTCAATGGTGTCTCGGGGTTTGGTCCTTCAGGAATCTCATTAACTTCACAACTGGATAGTAGTGAGTTCTCATATTGTATTGAAAATTTAAACAATCCATTTGACGAAAAAAATATACTGATCATAGGGATAAAGTCCGGAGGAGTTGAAAACTCAACTCCTCTTATTATTAGGGAGTTCCATTACTACGTAAATCTTGAAGGCATTAGCTTTGGGGGTAGGATACTCGGCACTGACAAAAAGGATTTGAGAATGGATATTCTAAAAAGTGGTGGGGGTGCAACTATTGATTCAGGTTCAAGTTTGAGTTTCTTTTGAAGATATTGCAAACGAGAAACTTGAACAGGCAATTGTTGATTACATAGGGGACTCATTGGAAAGACGATATTTCTCTTTGGACAAGTATCAACTTTGCTATATTGGACACTTGTTTAAGGATTTTAAGGGCTTTACAACAATAGCATTTCATTTTGATGGAGCAACAATGGAATTAGATAAAAAGAATTTGTTTAAGCAAGTATACCAGATGTGGTATGTTTAAGTGTGTTGAATGCTGCAGAGAATTGTGTCGATCACAGTCTTCTTGGCGTAGGACTTCAAAAATATTTCTATATATCATTTGACATGAATGAAATGTATGTTAACTTTGAAAGGATGGAATGCGAATATTTCAATAATTGGAGTTGAAGAAAATGATTGATGAATATAGTTGTAAATGCGTAGTTTTTAATTTTATTACCAATATTTTTTAGATGTAATTTGTTGAAAATTTTCATTTTTTCTTATTAGTGTCATGATTGAAATGTAATACCTCTAATTAAATGACTTGAGGGTAATTTAGGCCAAACAAAAACTAAAAGCAAAATATGTTTACACTTACACTCGCTGTTACCCAAACTCATCCTACCTTTTATTGGGTAATGATAATGATATATTTGATGTTGTTACAAGGTAGACGTGTGATTCATTGTGTGAGTGCAAGTAATTAATACAATTCTCTTACCAACTCTACATCATCAAGAAACAACAACCAACTTTAGCTGCAGGCTATTGCTGATTGGCTGACAATAACATTGAAAATTAAGATTATGTGTCATTTGCTTTACATGAGCTGACAAATTTGGGAAGAGAGAATCCTTTAAAATACTTTACACATTTACGCATTTGCTTGCAGCAAACCTTTGCATAATAGTCAGAAAGTATGGCTAGCTTTCGTCTAATCACCATAACTATCGTTCTTTTCTGTCTTTTGATACCAAGGACCAGCCATAGTAGTCGGAGTAGGATAGTTACGAAATTGATTCATTATAACTCTATTCACTCCCCCTATTTTGTCACAAATACTGCCGAATATAGGGACTTGCATATTTCCTTATCTCGCTTAAGATACTTGAAGGTAACAATGCAAGAATATTTGAATCTGACAGTACAATATGATTCAGATGATTCAAATGATGATTCAGATAATGATACTGATTTCGAGACTGGAATTTTTGTTAACACATCAATACCTGTGTTTTTGGTGGGTTTCAACTTTGGTTCACGGGAGGCTGCTCAATTGGCTGCGTTGGATACTGGTAGTAATCTGCTTTGGGTTCAGTGCAAACTTGATAGAGACGGCAATAGGACATTCTATAGAAACTATTGGCCTGCGGAGTTTTCAACATATTCTGTTAATGTGAGGTGCGTGGACTTTTATTCTTCTACTCCATTGACATGTATTCCAACACCCACTCTCTGCTGGTATGTATTGAAATATTTGGGTGAAGTCATTGTCCGTGGAAATCCTGCATTTGAACGATTTATTTTCGGTTCATCATTTGACAACCAACCAGCGCATGAGTTAAATCCGTTATTTGGATGTACTAGAAAAAATAGCTAAACAGACAAGTTCAATCGTGACTTGGGGTTTGGTCCTTCAGGAATCTCATTAGCTTCACAACTGGATAGTAGTGAGTTCTCATATTGTATTGGAAATTTAAACGATCCATTTGACGAAAAAAATATACTGATTATAGGGATAAAATCCGGACTCAACTCCTCTTATTATTAGAGAGTTTGATTACTACGTAAATCTTGAAGGCATTAGTTTTGGGGGTAGGATGCTCGGTATTGACAAAAAAGATTTGAGAATGGATAATTTTAAAAGTGGTGGGGGTGCAACTATTGATTCAGGTTCAGGTTTGAGTTTCCTTTTAAGATATTGCAAACGAGAAACTTGAACAGGCAATTGTTGATTGCATAGGGGACTCATTGGAAAGACGATATTTCTCTTTGGACAAGTATCAACTTTGCTATATTGGACACTTGTTTAGGGATTTTAAGGGCTTTACAACAATAGCATTTCATTTTGATGGAGCAACAATGGAATTAGATAAAAAGAATTTGTTTAAGCAAGTATACCAGATGTGGTATGTTTAAGTGTGTTGAATGCTGCAGAGAATTGTGTCGATCACAGTTTTCTTGGCGTAGGACTTCAAAAATATTTCTATATATCATTTGACATGAATGAAATGTATGTTAACTTTGAAAGGATGGAATGCGAATATTTCAATAATTGGAGTTGAAGAAAATGATTGATGAATATAGTTGTAAATGCGTAGTTTTTAATTTTATTACCAATATTTTTTAGATGTAATTTGTTGAAAATTTTCATTTTTTCTTATTAGTGTCATGATTGAAATGTAATACCTCTAATTAAATGACTTGAGGGTAATTTAGGCCAAACAAAAACTAAAAGCAAAATATGTTTACACTTACACTCGCTGTTACCCAAACTCATCCTACCTTTTATTGGGTAATGATAATGATATATTTGATATTGTTACAAGGTAGACGTGTGATTCATCGTGTGAGGGCAAGTAATTAATACATTTCTCTTACCAACTCTACATCATCAAGAAACAACAACCAACTTTAACTGCAGGCTATTGCTGATTGATTGACAATAACATTAAAAATTAAGATTATGTGTCATTTGCTTTACATGAGCAGACAAATTTGGGAAGAGAGAATCCTTTAAAATACTTTATACATTTACAGATTTGCTTGCAGCAAACATTTGCATAATAGTCAGAAAGTATGGCTAGCTTTCGTCTAATCACCATAACCATCGTTCTTTTCTTTCTTTTGATACCAAGGACCAGCCATAGTAGTCGGAGTAGGATAGTTACGAAAATGATTCATTATAACTCTATTGACCTCCCTTATTTTGACACAAATGCTGCCGAACATAGGGACTTGCATATTTCCTTATCTCGCTTAAGATACTTGAAGGTGACAATGCAAGAATATTTGAAGCTGACAGTACAATATGATTCAGATGATTCAAATGATGATTCAGATAATGATACTGATTTCGAGACTGGAAATTTTATTAACATATCAATACCTGTGTTTTTGGTGGGTTTCAACTTTGGTTCACTGGAGGCTGCTCAATTGGTTGCGTTGGATACTGGTAGTAATCTACTTTGGGTTCAGTGCAAACTTGATATAGGCGGCAATAGGACATTCTATAGAAACTATTGGCCTGCGGAGTCTTCAACATATTCTGTTAATGTGAGGTGCGAGGACTTTTATTCTTCTACTCCATTGACATGTATTCCAACACCCACTCTCTGCTGGTATGTATTGAAATATTTGGGTGAAGTCATTGTCCGTGGAAATCCTGCATTTGAACGATTTATTTTCGGTTCATCATTTGACAACCAACCAGCGCATGAGTTAAATCCGTTATTTGGTTGTACTAGAAAAAATAGCTACACAGACAAGTTCAATCGTGTCTTGGGGTTTGGCCCTTCAGGAATCTCATTAGCTTCACAACTGGATAGTAGTGAGTTCTCATATTGTATTGGAAATTTAAACGATCCATTTGATGAAAAAAATATACTGATTATAGGGATAAAATTCGGAGGAGTTGAGTTTTCAACTCCTCTTATTATTAGAGAGTTTGATTACTACGTAAATCTTGAAGGCATTAGTTTTGGGGGTAGGATGCTCGGTATTGACAAAAAGGATTTGAGAATGGATAATTTTAAAAGTGGTGGGGGTGCAACTATTGATTCAGGTTCAGGTTTGAGTTCCTTTGAAGATATTGCAAACGAGAAACTTGAACAGACAATTGTTGATTACATAGGGGACTCATTGGAAAGACGATATTTCTCTTTGGACAAGTATAAATTTTGCTATATTGGACACTTGTTTAGGGATTTTAAGGGCTTTACAACAATAGCATTTCATTTTGATGGAGCAACAATGGAATTAGATAAAAAGAATTTGTTTAAGCAAGTATACCAGATGTGGTATGTTTAAGTGTGTTGAATGCTGCAGAGAATGGTGTCAATCACAGTTTTCTTGACGTAAAACTCAAAAAATATTTCTATATTTCATTTGACATGAATGAAATGCAAGTAAACTTTGAGAGGATGGAATGTGAATATTTCAATAATTGGAGTTGAAGAAAATGATTGATTAATATAGTTGTAATGTGACGCCCCGAAAAAAAATGAGTTTGAGAACCCGGAAATTTTTTTAATTTTCTAGGGTTTATTTTTTTAACGCCCGCCTTTTCTACATTTTCTTTCCCCTCCACAGGGCTCGTGGCGAAGGCAGGACTTGTTGTGCTTATTCACGTGAATGGATGGCCTTTATGTTGTACAATTTGGATGTGGAATCATTTTATGTATAGTTGGGAATTGTTTCCGCTGCAATTGTGACATGTAATTATTGGAGACTTGGATGTATATTTGTGGACCATGTGATGTATATTTGAGGTTTATTCTTGTAATTCATTTGAGGACTTTAGTGACCGCTGAGTCCCGGCGAGAGCTGGGCAGGCGGCCCGCCGAACCCTCTGGTTCGTCTTAGGGGGAGGTGGGGCTGTCACATGTAAAAGCGTCGTTTTTAATTTTTATTACCAATATTTTTTAGATATAATTTATTGAAACTTTTTACTTTTTCTTATTAGTGTCATGATTGAAATTTATTACCTCTAATTAAAAAACAGGAGGGCAATTTAGGCTAAACAAAAACTAAAAGTAAAATATGTTTACACTTACATTCCCTGTTACCAGACTCATCCTACCTTTTATAGAGTAATGATAATGATATATTTGATGTTGTTACATGGTAGACGTGTGCTTCATCGTGTGAGGGCAAGTAATTAATACAATTCTCTTGCCAACACTACATCATCAAGAAACAACAACCAACTTTAGTTGCAGGCTATTGTTGATTGATTGACAATAACATTGAAAATGAAGATTATGTGTCATTTGCTTTACATGAGCTGACAAATTTGGGAAGAGAGAATCCTTTAAAACACTTTGCACATTTACACATTTGCTTGCAGCAAACCTTTGCATAATAGTCAGAAAGTATGGCTAACTTTCTTCTAATCACCACAACCATCGTTCTTTTCTGTCTTTGGATAGCAAGAACAAGCCATATTAGTAGGAGTAGGATAGTTACAAAAATGATTCATTATAACTCTATTCACTCCCCTCTATTTTGACACAAATGCTGCCGAACATAGGAACTTGCATATTTCCTTATCTCGCTTAAGATACTTGAAGGTGACAATGCAAGAATATTTGAAGCTGACAGTACAATATGATTCAGATGATTCAGATAATGATACTAATTTTGAGACTGGAATTTTTGTTAACACATCAATACCTGTGTTTTTGGTGGGTTTCAACATTGGTTCACGGGAGGCTGCTCAATTGGTTGCGTTGGATACTGGTAGTAATCTGCTTTGAGTTCAGTGCAAACCTGGTATAGGCAGCAATAGGACATTCTAGAGAAACTATTGGCTTGGGGAGTCTTCAATATATCCGGCTAATGTGAGGCGCGAGGACTTTTGTTCTTCTATTCCGTTGACATGTATTCCAACACCCACTCTTTGCTGGTATGTATTGAAATATTTGGGTGAAATCGTTGTCCGTGAAAATCTTGCATTTGAACGATTTATTTTCGGTTCATCATTTGATAACCAACCAGCGCATAAGTTAAATCCGTTATTTGGATGTACTAGAAAAAATAGCTACATAGGCAAGTTCAATGGTGTCTCGGGGTTTGGTCCTTCAGGAATCTCATTAGCTTCACAACTGGATAGTAGTGAGTTCTCATATTGTATTGAAAATTTAAACGATCCATTTGATGAAAAAAATATACTGATCATAGGGATAAAGTCCGGAGGAGTTGAAAACTCAACTCCTCTTATTATTAGGGAGTTCCATTACTACGTAAATCTTGAAGGCATTAGCTTTGGGGGTAGGATACTCGGCACTGACAAAAAGGATTTGAGCATGGATAATTTTAAAAGTGGTAGGGGTGCAATTATTGATTCAGGTTCAAGTTTGAGTTTCCTTCAAGATATTGAATACGAGAAACTTGAACAGGTAATTGTTGATTACATAGAGAACTCATTGGAAAGACGCTTGTTTAGGGATTTTAAGGGCTTTCCAACAATAGCATTTCATTTTGATGGAGCAACAATGGAATTAGATAAAGAGAATTTGTTTAAGTAAGTATACCCTGATGTGGTATGTTTAAGTGTGTTGAATGTTGCAGAGAATGGTGTCGATCACAGTCTTCTTGGCGTAGAACTCCAAAAATATTTCTATATATCATTTGACATGAATGAAATGCAAGTTAACTTTGAGAGGATGGAATGTGAATATTTCAATAATTGGAGTTGAAGAAAATGATTGGTGAATATAGTTGTAAATGGCTAGTTTTTAATTTTTATTACCAATATTTTTTAGAGGTAATTTATTGAAACTTTTCATTTTTTCTTATTAGTGTCATGATTGAAATGTAATAACTTTAATTAAAAGGCATGAGGGTAATTTAGGCTAAATAAAAACTAAAAGCAAAATATGTTTACACTTACACTCCCTGTTATCAAGACTCATCCTACTTTTTATAGAGTAATGATAATGATATATTTGATGTTGTTACAAAGTAGACGTGTGCTTCATAGTGTGAGGCAAGTAATTAATACAATACTCTTCCCAACTCTACATCATCAAGAAACAACAACCAACTTTAGCTGCAGGCTATTGCTGATTGATTGACAATAACATTGAAAATTAAGATTATGTGTCATTTGCTTTACATGAGATGACAAATTTGGGAAGAGAGAATCCTTTAAAACACTTTGCACATTTACACATTTGTTTGCAGCAAACTTTTGCATAATAGTTAGAAAGTATGGCTAACTTTCTTCTAATCACCACAACCATCGTTCTTTTCTGTCTTTGGATAGCAAGAACAAGCCATATTAGTAGGAGTAGGATAGTTACAAAAATGATTCATTATAACTCTATTCACTCCCCCCTATTTTGACACAAATGCTATCGAACATAGGGACTTGCATATTTCCTTATCTCGCTTAAGATACTTGAAGGTGACAATGCCAGAAGATTTGAAGGTGACAGTACAAGATGATTTAGATGATTCAAATGATGATTCAGATCTTGATACTGATTTCGAGACTGGAATTTTTGTTAACACATCAATACCTGTGTTTTTGGTGGGTTTCAACTTTGGTTCACGGGAGGCTGCTCAATTGGTTGCGTTAGCTACTGGTAGTAATCTGTTTTGGGTTCAGTGCAAACCTGGTATAGGTGGCAATAGGACATTCTATAGAAACTATTGGTCTGGGGAGTCTTCAACATATTCTGCTAATGTGAGGTGCGAAGACTTTTGTTCTTCTACTCCGTTGACATGTATTCCAGCACCCACTTTCTGTTGGTTTGTATTGAAATATTTGGGTGAAGTCGTTGTCCGTGGAAATCTTGCATTTGAAAGATTTATTTTCGGTTCATCATTTGACAACCAACCAGCGCATGAGTTAAATCCGTTATTTGGATGTACTATAAAAAATAGCTATATAGACAAGTTCAATCGTGTCTTGGGGCTTGGTCCTTCAGGAATCTCATTAGCTTCACAACTGGATAGTAGTGAGTTCTCATACTGTATTGGAAATTTAAGCGATCCATTTGATAAAAAAAATATGCTGATCATAGGGAGAAAGTCCGGAGGAGTTGAAAACTCAACTCCTCTTATTATTAGGGAGTTCCATTACTACGTAAATTTTGAAGGCATTAACTTTAGGGGTAGGATACTCGGTACTGACAAAAAGGATTTGAGCATGGATAATTTTAAAAGTGGTGGGGGTGCAATTATTGATTCAGGTTCAAGTTTGAGTTTCCTTCAAGATATTGCATACGAGAAAGTTGAACAGGCAATTGTTGATTAAATAGGGGACTCATTGGAAAGACGATATTTCTCTTTGGACAAGTATCAACTTTACTATATTGGACACTTGTTTAGGGATTTTAAGGGCTTTTCAACAAGAGCATTTCATTTTGATGGAGCAACAATGGAATTAGATAAATAAAATTTGTTTAAGCAAGTATACCCAGATGTGGTATGTTTAAGTGTGTTGAATGCTGCAGAGAATGTTGTCGATCACAGTCTTCTTGGCGTAGAACTCCAAAAATATTTCTATATATCATTTGGCATGAATGAAATGCAAGTTAACTTTGAGAGGCTGGAATGTGCATATTTCAATAATTGGAGTTGAAGAAAATGATTGATTAATATAGTTGTAAATGGGTAGTTTTTAATTTTTATTACCAATATTTTTTAGATGTAATTTATTGAAAATTTTCATTTTTTCTTATTAGTGTCATGATTGAAATGTAATAACTCTAATTAAAAGGCATGAGGGTAATTTAGGCTTAACAAAAACTGTGAGGACTCAAAAATTTGTTTTTAATTTTATTTTATCGAATATTGGTAGTTTGTTTAAATATTTATTTACTCATTTTTCTCCAAATTATTTATTTCGATCATTTAAAATCCATTTATATGGAACGATGCCTCATTTATATTTTTTAAAGCGTATTGTTAGAAAAATTCACTTTTCGAAAACTCGTTTAGTTTGGAACAACGAGTGCATGTTTTTCGAGACTATATTTGAATCGAGAGTGTATTGATATTAGAGAGTTAACAATGATCAATGGTAGATTAAGAAAGGTTCATTAAGGAATTAATACTCGACTCATGTAAAGACTCACAAAAATTTACCTATTTTAAACTCCAAATTGTAGCTCATTTAATTATTTATTTGGCCAATTTCCCCAAATATTATTTTCTAACCTTTTTAGACCTAATTAAAAGGATCTATGGCTTAGTTATATTTTTAAAGTGACTTGTTTCAAAATTTAATTTCTGAAGACTCGTTAAGTAAAAATAGTGAATATGCGATTGGAATAAATAATTGAATCGAGGATACAATAAGTTTGGAAAAATTAGAGACATGTACATTAGTCTCAAATTAGGTATTTTTATGTTTAAGTGCTCAAGTATTAGTTAGTAATATAATCGTTATAAGAATTTTTTTTTGAAAGTTAAGCGTTATCGCGCAAAATTGGAAATACGCGTTTTACGCGCGCGATCAATTAAGGGACTTAAGACCGTTATTTTAGACTATTAAAAGTGAATAATAATAGTATGAATGGAAGCGCATTAGAGGTTTAGTGCACAAGTGAAACAAACCTGAGAGGAAACGAGCACGAAACGCGCGCATTCGCGCACTATCCTTAGTTGACTTTTGGAGCAATTTTGTCCACACATTCTTAAGCTTTTAGTGGACCCATCACACCAGATCAAAACCCTTCTTTTCTCACCTTAAGTGCACGGCTAGAACTCCCATTTTCACACCAAAACAGCCGACCAAACAGCAAAGGAAAGAAAGGAAGAAAAGCTTCTTCATTCTTGCACCAATCTTCCCCCATTTCATCTCAAAATTTGCATCCAGCTTACAAACCACTTGGAGATTCACTTAGGCAAGGAGAAGAGCTTCATTTCCACGGTTTTCTTCAGGCTTCAAAGGGCCAAAAAAAATTCTGACTTGAACAACCACCAAAGTAGGTAATGATCCAACACTCTAAACTTGTCCTATGGAGGTTAAATTACACATATGAGCTAGAATCTTCACATGGGTAGCTTGTATTGTTGGAAAATTTTGATGGTGGGCTCTGTGAACTCCCACTCTTGGGTTGTTGCTGATTTGATGATTGATGGTGGATATATTGTTGGTTTAGTGGTTAAAATGATGGATTAATGGTGTGTAATTGATAGAAATTTCATTGGGTGCAAGAAGCAAAAGTTTCCGATTTTGCCCCTGCCTTGTTCGGCCATTTTAAGGCCAATTTTTAATGATCTAATGGGTTGAATCTGATGTTTATATGACGTATTAGATGTGTGAAAAATTTCATTGAAAAATAATGAGGTTTGGTTGGGCAGATGAATTTTTTTTGTGAAACTAGCAAATCTGGAAACTGTTCACGTATGGCTCTGACCAGCGGTGGTGTTTCGGCCGTAACTCCGTCCTCGGATGTCGAAATCATGTGCCGTTGGTGGCGTTGGAAACTAGACATTCCAGGCGTTAATTTGAGATAAAATGAACGTTCTGATTCTTTGTGAGTGAGCCAAACCAAACGTTTTAAGATCGCTGTCCTGTTGCTCTGTTCATCTGGAATGAAGTGATAAGGCAGCAAATTGATGCTCGATTTTGAACTAGTTGGGTGCCAAATTTTGAAATGATTTCTTCTGTGATATTATAGCCCTATGAATGTATTTTTCAACGACATAAACCATGCCCCATTCTGAGTTAAATTGACTGAGTTGTGACCAAAACAAGAGGACTGCCCTGTTTTGGAAAAAAACCGAAATACTTGGACTGGTTTGGGACAAAACCTGGGAGTGATCTTATTAATTGAATGTGGTATTAAAAGTTTAGACTTATTGTTACCAATGCATCTGAAGATGATACAGGCACTTTTAGTAGCCTTAATGTTGTATGTACACAAAATTCAAAAAAGGGTTTTCCATATTGTTCTTAAAAGTAACTTTCATACTTTGTTGCGTTAATTGATGATGGAACGTAAATATTGGGTCCATCTGCTTTGTATTTGAAATGAAATGTTCAATAACATTGGTTGTCCATGGAAAAGGGGCAGCTAAATGAGATGCATGGAAAGGATGGCATTTCTTTCTTTATTTCTTTTTTTTTTCCCTGTTAAGCTTGACTTCCTATATGATAGGTTAGTTATTATACGAAGCTTTTTATGTGAATTTTTACATGTATTAGTTGTCCTCCTTTATCTTTTGTTAGGCCATGAAGTTTGAAGCTTTTTTTCCCCCTTCTGCAGGTATCTGTTGCTCCTGGGGTCGATGGAGCAGATTTAAGACATATTCAACGATTCAAAGGACCTTGGAAATATGGGGATTTGTTCTAACTTTTATATTCAGGGTTTGGTTGAACAGCCAAAAATTCTCCTACCGAGGTCAGTTAATGTCTAAAGTGTATGACTGTTTAGCACATAACTAGAAGGCTGATGCATGAGTAGTTTTCTGATTGAACTGAGAATGCCAAAGAAAGGATGAGGGAGAGCCTGACTTGAAATATTCAAGAGCATGGTACATAAACGTTGCCGCCATTTACAGTAAATAGTAAACTGATAGCTAAGTATGACTCCACTGATTCTGGTTGACCGTTTGGCCTTCAACTTTTTCTCTGTTATTCTTGATCTGCTATGGTTTGTTTCCTTCGAGGATTCTCTGCTATTGTATAAACATCTTTGTTTTGAGTTCATGGAGTAGCCAAGCTTTTGGCTTCTAATTGTATGTATATACTTGAACAATTTACACTTGGATCAGTATTAATGTCAATCAGGAAGGCTGTGAGAATGATAGTTTGCTAGCTATTTTGCTGAAATTGACAATTGTGCTCCCATGCTGCCGTAAAATTTACTAACAGATCCCTTTCTGCAATACATTTGTTTTCTTTCCTGTCATAATTCTGACAATTTCAAATCAGCATGCAAAGATAAGCCCTAAATTCTGATTTTGATTTCTGTACTTTAGTTGTATGACTTTAAATACGTTATTCACTTGACAGATATGTGCATGCAGGTGGGATGACAGAGGAAAAGAAAGTTCAGAGGCGAAAGGTCCTTGCTAAGTGGCTGAAGGAAAATATCTTGAGATTAGGACCTACATTTATCAAAGTTGGCCAGCAGTTCTCGACAAGGGTAGACATTCTTGCTCAAGAATATGTTGACCAATTGTCAGAACTTCAGGTCTAATTCTTCCTTTCAATAGCATTCATTTTTCTTCGCATCATTGTATGCTATCGTTTCCTATTATGGTGCACAAAACTTTCTTTTTGGTAAAATAAAAATGGTGAAGAATATCCTTTTCTAATTTCCTCATGTCATTTACAAGCTTCATGAGAATACAATTATTCAATTTGACAATAAATCCAACAGACCAAAACATGCTATGGTTCCAAAATCAAGTTTATTTTCTTGCAATCTGCTTTTTGAAGTTCTTCATCACATGGCTGAGGAAGCCTTGGTCTAGTGGCTAAGGTTGAGGCCCAAGAATTAGAGGTCATGGGTTCAAATCTTCCCTGTCCCCTCCCTGCTTCTTAAGTCCCACCCTTCCCCTGCTGGAAATTTTTTTTTTTAAAAAATCTTCATCACATAGGCGCCCAGTATGCTCTCTTTTCTACTGCACTCTCTCTCTCTTGTGTTACGAATGAATACCTGCTTTGGAGTTGGTGATTTATTTCTTTTGTGACAAAGGTATCATACCTCTTTAGGCATTTTAAATTAGTTACTATGCTTCTCAATTGCATTATGGTTCAATTACTCTATTCCTTGTGATCACCTGCTTTTGCACCATCTTACTGATTAACAAATGTTAGAAACAAAAAGCACATGTACTTTGTATAATCATATTTACTAAATAATGTTAAATATAAAAAATAATATAAAAGGTTTCTGATATTATGGCAGAATTCTTCCTGATTTAACAGACAATATTTAATAACTGAATGTCAGTTTAAATTTTCATAGTGCATTTAGATCTTAAATCTACTAGTATTTATGGGTAGAGGAAAATATTACTAGAAGGCAGAATTAAGTATGGATTTGTCATGACTGATGTATTGTCTGCAGAAACTAGCTTGTGACCGATGAATTTTCTTTAATTGATCACTGGTTCCATACGGTTAAGATTATTAGCTAAGTAAATGAATTATCAGGGAATAGAAAGTTAGGAAATAAATCAATCACTTATTTTGAGAAGAAGAATAAGGTTTTGTTAGCTTATTTTGGCGTCCTATGCTTATTCTCTCTTTGTTTTCTGCTTTACCTTTAGAAACTAAAAGCCAACAATTTTCACTCATTTGAAGCAGCATTTTTAAACTAACCAGAGCATGCAACTTCCAAAGTAAGTACTAATTAGCCCATGCCATTCCTAAAGCAACTTGCTAGTTTTCTGTGCAGGATCAAGTTCCTCCTTTTCCATCAGAAACTGCTGTATCTATCGTTGAGGAAGAACTTGGAGCTCCAGTGGATGATATGTTCGACCGATTTGATCGTGAGCCAATTGCTGCTGCTAGTCTTGGTAACATTATCTTCATTAGACATAGCGGAGTCCAAATATAAGACTTCAGCAACATGTGCTTGTTGTAATCATTGGCTTATCCTTTTTGTATCTCTGCAAAGAGAAGTTATGTACAAAGTAAATTTCTTTTTCAGGTCAAGTCCATCGTGCAAAAGTGAATGGACAAGAAGTTGTTGTTAAAGTACAAAGGCCTGGACTGAAGGATCTTTTCGATATCGATCTTAAAAATCTGAGGGTTAGTGTAAAAGTCAAAAATTTCTTGCATTCAGCTCCTGCAATCATATTTTGTTATGAAGTAGCTTTATGTCCCAGCAAAGTGGAAAAGTAATGCACTTGGATCTTTTTGGTCTGACTTTAATTTATATTGGCTTCAACATTCACTTTTCTGCAAGTTTGGAGCTTTAGCATGATTTGGTACAACTATAACATGTCAAGTATGGAGTCATTGGACAATTGTTTAGTCATGCTTTTAGGATCGAGCCACAGTAATTGCTTGAAGGGCACAAACTAGAATAGTTAAATAGGCAAATTTAATTGTTAAATTCCTACTCTCATCACTTGATTTCTACAGGTAATTGCAGAATACCTTCAAAAGATTGATCCAAAGTCCGATGGTGCAAAAAGGGACTGGGTTGCCATCTATGATGAGTGTGCAAATGTTTTGTATCAGGTAATAATGCGCTATGGTTGCTACACTTTGTGCATTTGCTGGCATGAATGTAAGTCCAGTAAGTGGTCAAAGACTGCCGGGGGAAGTTTTGGAAAGGGAATATTGGATAAAGTTGTTATTTTATAATAAGACATCGAGGCCACTAGCAGATGTATAAAGGTATTACAATACTGAACAAGAAAGATAAAACCTTTGCAAAAGTATCTAAAGATGAAAAGAGGGTTTATGCAGGAAACGAAAACCCACCAATATTGCTCTTACAATGGCTGCAGTGACTGGTTATATGAGCCAAATCGAAAAGATCTCTTCTAGGGTACCGTGATTAAGTGTTCTTAAGTTCAAATTATGTGAGTTCTTTTTTCCTGAAATGATCCTACAAATATGTTTGACAGATCCAGAATGGTCCTGAGAGGATATGATTGCTGGTATCCTAATACATGCTGCCTATGCTGGTGTATATTAGATGACATCTGAAACTCTGGTTGTGCTGTGACTTGAGCTAAAGGCAATTCAAAGACAATAAGTTGATTAAACTTATAATTTTCCACTGAATGTGCAGTCAATTAAAACTATTTTAATTTGCTGGATTTTACACCTTGCTGGTTAGCGAGAACTTAAACCTCTCCAAATTTAATGTGGTTACTCTCCAAATTTAATGTGGTTACTCCTCTATGTTTGCCCAAAAAAGTGAGGAAATTTACTTGAGTTTAGGATTTTAGTCTTCCATGTCAGTAATGAGTTCTGCAACTGAGTACATGGAACTAAAAGCGGTCTTGTCCCTTTTGCAGCATTGAACACTGTATACATTTATAACAATGATATATGTTTGTGCTGTATAATAATGGCTGCTTCAACCAGTTCAGTGGTGATGGTGACTTTGCCTGATTGCAGTGAACTGTTCTATTATAGCCAAGAGTTTTCAATGTTCAATTTGTAACATCTGGAAAGATCTAAATTTTTAAGCTTCTGTTTGTACTTCTAATTATCTTTTCCCTTAAATTATTTGGGTTTTGGATTAAGAAATAATTCTCAGTCAAACTTCTACTTTCAGGAAATTGACTATACAAAGGAAGCTGCTAATGCTGAGTTGTTTGCAGCTAACTTTAAGGACATGGATTATGTTAAAGTTCCCAAGATATGTTGGGAGTACACCACTCCACAGGTTTAAACTTTCAGGAATAGTCGAAGTCAGTACATGATTTTCTGTTAAAAGATCACCTTGTTTAGCAGGCCATCTCTTTATTTGCAGGTTCTGACGATGGAATATGTCCCAGGGATAAAAATAAACAGGATACAAGCTTTGGACCAGTTGGGTGTTGATCGCAAAAGGTATGCAATATGGAGTGAAAATCGTAGGACTTTTAACTTGAAACATGGCAAGCAGATTTTGACTCCATATGTAATGGATGCTGATCCTCTGTGCATCAGGTTGGGTAGATATGCCGTCGAATCTTACCTTGAACAGATTTTATCTCATGGCTTCTTTCACGCCGACCCTGTAACTTCCTATACACTTCTACTTTAGCATCATCTATATTTGGTGAAGAATGATTAAGTTATCAATTTCAAATGAAAGAGATATATTGGTTGGAGTGTGCATTTATTAGCCTGAAGCAATAATTGATTATCGTTTATTTATAACTACAGTGAAAATTTGAACTGCTGAAATCTGACACTAGGCTCCAATTCTAGAGTTGGTTTGAAGTAATTTGAATCTTGATCAGAACACTAAATATGATGCTTTTGAATTTCTTTTTACTTCTTGATGATATTGCTAAGTTTTGCAGCATCCTGGCAATATTGCTGTAGATGATGTTAATGGTGGAAGGTTGATTTCTATGATTTCGGAATGATGGGAAGGTATGCTTGTTGTTTTTCACTTCTTAGTTCCTGTCAACTGATGTTTTGTTGTTTGTGGAAGGATGTGCTTTCCTTTCCATCTATATACTTATGTTGGCCTTTTGCAGTATAAGCCCAAATATCAGAAAGGCTTGTTGGATGTATTTTATGGAGTTTATGAGAAGGATGCGGACAAGGTAAATAGTTCTTAATTTTCTGTAATGCTTTCATTTTCTACTTATTGCACTTTGAACCTGGAGCGAGAAAAGTCGCCGCTTTTTCACATATTTACCTTGACACTCGATACATCAGGTGAATCAGGAGTAGTGACTGGATAGAATTTGTAGAATTTCATACTCTCAAATGCAGCCTTTGTTTCATCACTCATTTCTTCAATTGCTTTTCTCCTGGCTTCCCTTGCCTACAAGAAATTATGCAACACCATTACTCATAGTGTATGAATCTAGATATTCATGAAATAACATGATCAGAAGCATCATAGGGTACCTCACGATTGGCCTTCTTGGCTTCTCGTACTTTCTCCTTCACAAATTCCTAACAAAGAGAAACTACATATTTTTACTACAATGATATGTACAAAAATTACAAATTAATTGCACATCACCAGAAAAAGTCACCTTGAAGGCATCCTTTTTGTCAGCAGGCAATTGATCTTCCTCAATAAATTTGTCTGTGAACTCCTACAAGTATTCAATTTAAACTAGTCAAAGGTAGGATACTTTCCTGCAAGTTGTTGGTTGGCATATGCTTTTGAACAAAATTACTAACACTGAATCTACTAAATCTACTACGTTTTACAGCACAGAGAGAGAGAGAGAGAGGTAGACAGTTAAGCATACACAGAGACATTACAGACATGCAAGAGGGAAGACGATATCCTGACGCACCGCAAGTGCAGCTTACTGAAATGGGGTGAAGGATGGAGAGTGTGGAAGGAGCGATGGCTCAGAAAGGTGGATAGGGTGAAAGGCTGAAAGTAGAGTAGAGCAGAGAGACTGAAGGAGAGAAGACAGTGGTGGATGGAACTCTACTTCTATTTCTATTCCCAATTTTTTTGGCCTTCCTGTCTTTAGTCTTATGTAGAATAACATATCCATTCAATGAAACAGCCTCTAAAAGATGCTCAAGTGTATTCAGATGGTACAATCAAACACATACGAATCTAATCTCCCCAACACCCCCAACATAATTCACTCAAAACAAATATGCTGATCCTGATCATACTACAATACACTACTGAAAGCAAGCAGAGAGACAGTGTCAAGGCATACCTCAAGTTCATCAAGCTCCCAATCAAACTCGCAGACTATCTGTACAGAGAAAGGATTAGAAATTAAAGTCAGACTAGGCATAGCTTCAACAATGTTCTAACGGTCTACATCTAGCAAGTTTGTATCTCATAACACCAATGTAGTGTGTATATAAACCACCTGCCATCAAATTTGATGATCATCTACAGAGTCAACTCAGAACTTAATGTTATGAAATCTCAAAACCATTAATTAATTACATGAAAGGAAAATCATACTGGTGGTTCTGTATCAGGAAATAAAATGTCCACATCTGTTTTGTTCTCAAATTCGTCTTCCCTCAGCGGCTGATAGAAGTCTGCAATGAACTAGAATGTCAAATAGATGCTGAAAATAGAGGACAATGATTATAAAATTTTAATCATATCATCTATTCTGACTCATTCATGCAATTGCTCAGAGAGATGCATGTATGCAATTCAAATTCCCTTAAAATGCTTCCCTGCAAAAGACAATGATCAAACTTTGAAACAAGAGAATTAAGCTCCATCGTTACAGTGTGTTGGAAAATTATAAATTCACAAAATGAGATTTTGCTAACGTAATCCTCTTATGTACTTATCGCATGATTTCAAACCTACAGTACTCAAAATCATCCCATGGTACTCCCGGAATACATCCTATGAACTTGTATCCTGAGCCAATGTCAATCGCAGTGCTTGTAACACTTCACTCCAATGCATTTCAAGCTATTGATTTATTTTTTCCAATTCCCAAGAAGTTCTATTAATGAGGCAATTATGTGAAATGCAATAAGATAATCCCATCAGGAAGGCAGGATTAATCCAGGAATAGAAACAAAATGAAAAGGATTATAGGATAATTAATTTGACCCCAGAATTCTGACACCTCCAATAACAATAGTTTTAAGGAAATTGAAGTTTTATGCCTACCACCATTCTTACAGAATCCTTCCGATTATCCATTACAACAAAACACAGGATAACTGTTTTAAAAAGGATTAGGAATTCTCTAAATACTAATCAAATCATAGAAGAGCTAACATTCATGGGTCACATTTTTGTTAATGGGACTAGGTCCTTATATTGAATATAATGAAGAAAAGTGTGCCCAAAACACACTGAGAATGCGGTTTAAGCCTCTAATAGAATTATACCCCATGCAGAGAACCATTTATTAGATAAACCATGCAGAAGTATTTACCAACAATCTACAGTGGTGACTTTTTGCTCATAGACCAAAGTCCTTATACTGGATACAACGAAGAAAAGTGCACCCAAAACACACAGAATACATTAGAGGCCTCTAATGCAATATTTCCTATGCAGACAACCATTTATTAGATAATCCTTGGAGGAACATTCACATTATACCATATTTCTCATCACTATTGATGCTACTAACTAAGAAACAGTTTTGTACAGAGACTTGACAAAAAGGTTATTCTTGGTCATAAGACACTTGTTTGAAAGCACATTTATCATGTACTTCCTCAAAGAACAAGGTATCTCTGAAGAAAAGGAGCAACACTAGCTGACTGAGAGGCTTCATCAATGATGATATCCTATTGATGAACAACATACATTTTCGGCAATGATAATAAATAAATGAAGTTCATATAACTATATGCTTATACTATATCATTCTGCAATCACCAAAAGAAAGAGTAAATACTGATGAAAGGTTAAAAAGCACAAAATCCAAACAAAAGGCACCATATTAAACTTCTCTTTACACAATAAACAAGTTCTAACGCAGCATTGAAGGTTTAGATACACTCACAAGGAAGGCAATATTCAAATTTCTTTACACGATCAATCTTCAAATGTTTCAAACCAGCCCTGTGAAAAACAATACCAAAGAGAATTAACCATAACAAGAGCTGGGCCAAGGAAGACAAGAAAAGCAGAACGAGAGAGAGAGAGAAGAGAACAAAGAGGAGGAAAATCAGCAGATGTTACTAGACCAAAGAGCTAGGACATATCATCCCAAAACATCACCATTGAAATCCATGTACCACAGATTACAGATATCCTAATATGTAAAGCATATGTTATCCACATTCCCTTAATTCTCAGGCCTCCAGAGGGAACTCAGGATTAACATGAATCCTACCAATCTAAATGGAAATAGGAAAAACAGAGGGAGGGCAACTGAGAAAGAGATCAAGACTGTTTAAGACATGAAAAGGAACCAAGGAGCAAAAAACAAAAAAATCTACCTTCTCTGTGTACAAGCTAAAATGAATATTTGGGATTTAAGTCTTTCAACTTGAGAGTCCCTACAAAATAATATAAGAGCAGAACCATAAACATATAAGCATACAGTAAGAAATCTTGTGCAGAAATAATATAATGAATAACAGGAGATGGTAACTACCTATTTGCAAAAGGAATATAAGGTATCCAATCCATTTTCATCTGCTTCATGGGTAAAATTTCTTCAGACTCCCTCTGTACTGAGGTAATTCCAATTTTGTCAGAGGGTGGAAAAGGAGATACCACCTGTTTGAAGAAATAAGAATAAGACTTAGGAACTGTAGAAAAAGAAATAACTTCTTTCTGCTCTCCAATTTGTCATAATTTAAACAGAACAAAACCTAAATTCACAAAATGAACATGCTTCTGTCTTAAGCACATAAGTGCAATAAATTCACCAGCTAAAGTTTTCTCCTTCTGTTTGACAGCTAACCAGTAATGTCCTTAAAGCATAACCAGTAAAGCTAGAAGTACCAGTAGTAGACACCTATAAGAATGCCCAAGGAACAAAGCATTCCATTTGATGGAACTGGCAAAATTAAAGCAACATTGTATCCAAGCCTAAGATTGCATTGCTATAGGAATAACACCTTCAGCTTGATTAAGTGCAAATTTGGTAGTTCGGTGATTACTAGATCAAAAAGTTACATAGTCAACTATTAAAGAAATATTTAAAAAGTCAGTACCCTTGATAAAGAGCAGTTCACAAAACAGAATTCTATGGACTTACAGCAACCACGACAGGGATCACGACTAGTTTTTGTTGCCCCTGGAAAGATACAAATTGTGCTGCAAGAATAGACATAGTCAAAGAAGAAGCCCAGAATCAGATGGAGCATTACCTGTAAGCAGTAAAAAGATGATCTGGCGGCTAATTAAGATTGGAATCAAATTTTGCTTCTGTTACATTTTATTCTTGTTTTGTTTTGTCCAGAGGAGTGAGTGGGGACGTAATAAGAAGTTCATTTTCGAGCATAGTGGGAATCCATATAATGTTATTAGCCTCAAAAGTAACATCTGCAGTATATAAATGACGAAACACCTTTTGGTTGTTTTCAAGACATAAATGAAAAAGTTAAAAGTACATGAAAAGAGCTCAAGTCTAATTTTCCCTGCCAGCATTGTTTTCTTTTAAGCTGATCAAAGCACAAACTCAGAAAGGCATTCTAAGAAAATACTGGCATTGCATTTAGAGAAAATCAAAGGGGCAAGGGAAATAAGTCCCAGATAGCACTTACGCTCTGTACATCCAAAAAGATATACTTTCTTCCCATGTAACTCCCCACCTTCTTCAAATGCATCCTGTAAAGCATTCCATGAGTACTTTTAGCTAACTTCTAAGCTCTTGTGCACTTTAGCTGATAGTTTTGTTGCAATTAGCAAAGAATGCTAAAGAAAAAAAAAAGACATACAAATAGTTAATCCAAATAATCAATGTTAGAAAAAGTAGCTCACTTCCAAATTTTGGAAACTCCATTTATACTGGTAAACCAAGTCAAGCTGTTCCCACTGCAATCCATAAGAAAAGCAAAAAATAATAGCACTAATTCGTTAGATATCTTGTTTGGGACCTCTGGAGGCAAAAAAACAAAACAAGAAATAGATTCCTTACCTCTGTGCCAACAGGAAACACCTGTTTCCATAGATCTTCCTGCAAAAAATAAAAAATAAAAATCAATGATGAGGCATTCTTCAAGATGATCTCAACATTTCTCGTAAGCAAAAGTAATTATTTGATGATCATCAGTTCACGTCAAGCAAAGCAACAGCCATATTAATGTCACATTTAGCAAACATCCTCAAATATAGCATAATGGAATGGGAAGCAAATGAAAGAACCAAAAACAGCCAAAGAAAAGAGCAACACCATCATATCTGTTAAGCTACAAAGTATGTCCTGTGCTTCCTTTATATATGTCTGTGTAATACATGCAATTATCATTTTGCCAAGAAAGATATCCAAACATATGCTATCTGTAATGCCGAGATTACCTTTTTTTTAATTCTCAGGTAAAAATATCATACAAAGTCGAAGTCCATATCATCAAAAAAATACAAATGTGAACGTGCACCTAAGCACAATGAAGAAAAATTAAAAATACTGGAGGGAGTTGAGCTTATTTCCCTACGCTCACATACTTTAAACGAATCATATCACGAATATCCAAGGAGAACTTCACCTGAAACGCCAGTTACTAAGATCTCGAGAATCAAAATGCAAAAAAAGAAGTTAAAAATCAAGTTGTAAGCAAAAATTCAATCAAAATGCAATACTTATCAAGAATCACAGCACATTATCAAAACAGAAACAGTAAATAATTTCTCATAAGGAATAAGAATTTACCAGATTACGCTTCTCCTCGAAGTACTCAGGCTCATCCTCCTGCTTCGTTATTCTAGCTCGCTTACCTCGTCGCTTCACAGCTTTACTCGGCTCCACCTTCTCCTTTCCCTTCTTCTTCTCTTCAACCGGCTTGGTACTCTGCTCCTCCTTCTCCTTCTCCTCGTTCTCCTCCTCAGCCAGCTTGGTACTCGGCTCAGACTTGTTGTTCTCCTCAGTCTGCTCAACTTTACTACTCTCTTCCTCTTCAGCAGCAGCAGCCGCGGATTGGCTCTTCTCAACCACCTCCTCCTTGTTGTTCTCTTCTACGGTGGCTTTACTCGCCTCATTCTCGGCCTCCTCCGGCTTGGATTTAGCGGCTCCGTCTTTGCGGCTCGGCGCCTTTCTCTTAGTGCCCTTCCTCATTTTCCCGTGCGATTGTACCGTTCTGCTATATATCTATGTATATACAATTCTAGAGAGAGAGAGAGCTAGGGTTGGATGGAGCTCTCAAAATTTTGAATTGGAGAGAGGAAAAATGCGATGGCGGAGTGTGGAGGGAGAGAGAAAAAAATGGACCGTACCACTGATTGCTCTGTCGTATATAGGTGCGTGAGGTCAACGCGTTGATACGACGCCAAGGCGAAGAAGTGATGGTAAAAGATAGTTCCTATAGCACTTTTTTGGATGGGAGTTTATTCGGATGATTTATTTGAAATAATTTTTATAGCATTTTTTGTGGTGTAATGTATGTGAAATAAAAAAAATAATTAAAATTTATGAAATAAATTATTTTATTTCAAAACTATGCAGTCCAAACCCATTCAGTAGGTTTTTTCAAATAATATTTCGCTTGGATAGCAGGTTTTTCAAATAATATTTCGCTTACATCATAAACACATTTTCCAATTCATCTTTTTATATTCCCAACTATCTTTTTATTTTACATACATCACATCATAAAAAAATGTTACAGTAATTATTTCAAATAATACTCTATCCAAACAAACCCAATGTCTTGGTATCAGGTCGAGTTTTGAACCAAATTAATGGAATAAATCAGTTGAATTGTACATTTGCTCTCGAGTTAGGATGCAAATGAGTTGAGTTTGAATAGTTCGCTAGGTTATTTGACCAAACTCGTGCTTGAATTTGGTAACTGAATTTGAACTCGAGTTCGAACTATTTGACAAATTTAACCTTGAGCTTAGGACGTAAAGTTTGAAATCTTGTCAAGTTTTAATCCAACTTTACATATATACATATATGTATATTTTTTTAATCTTTTTATTTGTTAGTATGAAATGTTTATATCGTCCCTTGTTTAAAATTATATAAAATGTAAATTTATATTTCTTAAATTAGATTAAGTTCGATTTTGCACAAGTTTGAGTAAGACAAAAGAAAAATAAGCTCAACTTTCAAAAACTCGACGAACTTGAATCCAAACCTTTTAACTTGAGTCGAGTTCGAGAACCAATTGCATCCCTATTCGTGAGTGATACAATGGAGTGAGAAAAATAGTTGTTAAAAAGGACTCATGATTAGAATAGTATAGACTGTAGACGCTGTCGATTGTTTTTAAAAAATTATAAGTATCTGCAAAGATATTTCTTGTTATTGATAATAGTAATTTATCATATCTATCATATGATTTATGTTATGTAGATAGATAATTATTCAAAAGAATTTAGCTTGTGACACTTTTTGGATTCAAGTTTGTCTGGATAATCTGTAATTTGAACAACATTATTTGTTTGTACCATAAATATATTTTTTAATTATCTTTAAATAATTTTTTATTTTATATACATTACATCAAAAAAAATTCTTACAATATTTTTCTAAAAAAAAAATTTCAAATAAACTACCAGACAGTTTTCACGCTTTTGTAAAGTGCTTTCTGGTGGTGGGAACTCCAAACTGCAAACTGCTTGTGACCTGGGCATCGCGATCTGGACTTTGTTAAACTTATTAGAATCCGCCCAATAATAGCACATTTCCGAGGCCAGCCAAGTTTCAACAAGAATTAACCAAATTCAGGCTGGCCCAGATTCAAAATGATATTGGCGATAATATTAATACAACACATGAGCAGCCCATCCTAGCTATAGCAGCCCGCCCCGAATTGGTGCAACTAATCCAATCGATGCGTGTTTTTGCACTCTTGAATTAATAATGCATTTTGTAGTTTTTCATTTAAAAAAATACTCTATATTTTACATAATTAAAAGTAATTTGCCAAGGTAGAATTAATACATCATATATACGCATTATGATTCAATGTCAATGCAGATAACTCATAAATGGTGAGATAAAAACTAACATTGAATTAAAATATAATCACATTTGATGAAACTTATTTGAAGAACTCTGATGTTGAGGCATTAATCTTGGTTGTTCCATTGGCATGCATTTTTGCAACTAAGTGGAGCTGAAACTGAAAGTCAAATTCGAACTAAACACTTGGTAGGCATTCAGCATGAATAAAGAAAATTGAAGTCAAAATAGTTTATGGATTATTCTATTATGCAGTGCACGAGATAAAGAGGTGGATACGATGTTTAGTTTTTTTTTTTTTCCAAAATTTTATACTCCCTCCGTCCCACTTTGATAGTCCTGTATTCCTTTTTCATCCGTCCCAAATTGTAGTATACTTTTCGATTGAAAAATGTAGTTGTATTTTAATTTTCATAAAATACCCTTATTCAATGTAAGTAATTGTTACTATAAACCTACCTCATTTAATGAGAGTTGATTCTTTTTTTACCATCAATTCAAGTTTCCATAAAGTTGTACCATATTTAATGTGAAGGTATTTTAGGAAAATAGCAATCTAAATTTACTTTTCCAACAAAGTTAACTACTCCCTCCCTTTTTTTATAACTAACGTTTAAGAAATTTGCTCAAGTGTACTTTTATCTGTCGTTTTATTATCCCCATACAGTATTAATTATTTTTTCACAATTTTATCCTTTTATCTCTCTTTTCCAATACAGGGTTCTTAATTACTACTTCTAGTAATTATTGCTTCTCTCTTTGTAACAACCCTAATAAAACAGCACCATTTAGTACTCTAGTGAGAGAAAACATGGGTGAATTGGACAATTAATGAGGGTATAAAAGGAAAGTAGTGTATAAATTTAACCAATGAAAAACTTTTCTTAATTGGTGTGCAAAACCTTAAATGTCAGTTATAAAAAAAAGGAGGGAGTATTTTTTCTTAAACTGTGTAAAAAAAGAAATAGAACTATCAAAGTGAGACGGGGAGAGTATTTTTATAGGCAAAAGTTTACATAATTGGAGGTGAATGATAATATTTGGATTTTACGGCTGATAACCTAGCCCTTTTATTTTATACATTTTTGTTTAATTCAGAGCATAAAATAGAAAAATCTATCGCCCATTTAATTATGCTTCAGTTTAAAGTGAGTTACAAGTTAAATGCGTTTAGTTAATTTTTAATTCAGCATTGTCTTTCTTAGAATTCTGATTCGAGTTGAATGTCTTACGTATTGGTTAAATCTGAGGTTCAATTTTAACTTTTATCGGTCAATTAACCTTAATTGATAAATGGGATCCTATCAAAGTTTTGAATTGTTTGTGTGTAATTTGATTGGTACTTGGAACAAGTTTTTAAACCGAGTGGAGTGGTAATATTTTTCATATGTTTAGATGCTAAACTAAAACAATACAAAAACGAAGGAAACGTGAGAGGGAAATGACAAACACTTTTTTGAGGTTAGTGGTCCAACTTGGCTCAGACAATCCAAAGGAACTTTTCTCAACCAATCAAAGCGTCTCAAAATCAACTCCCACACCCATCTTCTTGCCACGTGTCACTCTACAAACCACACCTCAGTTTCCTCTTCTCCAGCTTAACTCAATTAAAAAAAAAATAAATAGAAAATATAAATATTAAGAAAAGGAAAAAAACTCCAGCCACCATTTTCCTCCACTGCTACTCCACCAAGCCAAAAACAAAACAGTGAGCTCGGCACTTTTCACACACTCACACACTTGCTCCTCTGGATGAAGAGAGTAGGGTTTTAGGAGTTATTTATATCCTCTAATGACGACGATTTCGGCTGCTTTATCTGCTTCGAGATTACCGGAGATTAAATTTCTGTCGCAGGAGGCTTCTGGCCAGCGGCGGCGGCGGCTGGTGCGCTTCGCGGTTTATAGAAGGCTGAATTTTGAGTTGGAACGGAGTTTAGGTCGCCGGAGTTGGAGGATTTTAGCGGCGAAGAGGGAAGAAGGAACGGCTGTGGTGGAGGAGAAAGAGAGTGAAATTTTAACTCAGTTGAATGGGAGTTTGAATGGGAGTTCCAGTGGAAGTTGTGGTGGGATTAGTGGCTTGGAAGTGGAGGAGTATACGAATGGAAGTGTGAATGGGAGTTTAGTTAAGTATGTGGACGGGAATGGAAATGGAGGAGTGGGGGTGAGGAGTAAAGAGGAGCTGGTGGCAGTGATGGTGGAGGATGAGGAACAGAAGAGGAAGAGGAATATAGAGGAAATTGGGCGAGAAGAGGCGTGGTTTAAGCAAAGCGAAGACCAGCAAGTTGAGGTATATATGAGTGTTTATACATTCTTTTTTGATTGCTTAGGTAAAAGCTTACTAGGTTCATTTATTGTATATTGGCGTTCTTGGTTTCTAATGAACAGCAGCATTTGAATTCTGTGCTAATTTCTGATCATACTGGAGATATCGAGTAATATTAGCTTATAAAGTAGGTAAGACTGATGATTCGTAATGGTAGGTTATGTAGGCTGGTCATTTCACATTGAGCATGAAGTATCTTAGGCTGCATGAAAACGTAGGAGATTCATGCGAAAATGAGAAAGCAAAAAAATCTTTCCTTTGTTTCATTTGAAGTAGGCATTGAGGTTGGTTTGATTATTATATCCTGTGGAAAAGATATGGTTAAAGGTGATACTGATAAATAAGAAAATGGTTGGGATCTTAGATACATGAAGAGTAAGATCCTCTAATGGGCTGGTAGTTTGGGTTTTGCAGAGCAAAATAAGTAGGGGAGACTGGAGGTTCTTAAATGTTTCTTGCTGGAAAGAAGAAAAGTGGGTCTTTTTTATGTCATACAGTTACCGTCAAAAATCTTTACAAGTTTATAATGTAATTATAAGTAGTAATTACGTTAAGGAATAAAATGGGCTGATACAGAAAATTTGTTTGCCTCAGAATTGAAAGTTTTTGAACTAGAGAACTTTGAGAAGAGGTTTTTTGTGGCAAAGTCTTTGGGATCCATTTTTGTTGCAATCTTTTGTAGTTATATTCATGTATAAATATGACTATAACTTGTTTTGTTTCTATAGTTATTTATAACTATAGTTTATGTGGTATTAAAAGTTTAGACTTATTGTTACCAATGCATCTGAAGATGATACAGGCACTTTTAGTAGCCTTAATGTTGTATGTACACAAAATTCAAAAAAGGGTTTTCCATATTGTTCTTAAAAGTAACTTTCATACTTTGTTGCGTTAATTGATGATGGAACGTAAATATTGGGTCCATCTGCTTTGTATTTGAAATGAAATGTTCAATAACATTGGTT